AGAGAGAGAGAGAGAGAGAGAGAGAGAGAGAGAGAGAGAGAGAGAGAGAAAGAGAGAGAACGAATGTTATTTATCGGCTTCCGTTTCAATCACCAATAGGACATCCCTATGCCAGCAGCAGCATGTCTTTGCCCCGCTGCAGCGCCTGTCGCATGAAACCTCAGAAATAGTCATGACATCTCCTGCTATGAATCACAGGCTAGAATACCCGCCGCGAAATCTGCCGGCGAAATATTTCGCTATGATCCGGCTATACTAGTTACTTACGCGATAGTATATACTCACGAGTGTATGCTAGACGATGGTCGAAATTATATATCTGGGGGTGTGTACCTGACAACGGGCACGTCGAACGAGGGGCGAGAAACCTGTGTCAACGTCGTGCGTCTAGATGCCTTGTTGTTGGCGCAGCTGCAGCGTGTAATGCTGCCCCGAAACCTCGTGTAGCTCGCCTAATCGTTATCCGTATAAACAGATCGATCAATCACGGCCGCGATAGAGAGCACGCACGCGCGGCCGCGATAGGGAGCACGCACGCGCGGCCGTGATAGGGAGCACGCACGCGCAGCGGTGATAGGGAGCACGCACGCGCGGCCGTGATAGGGAGCACGCACGCGCAGCGGTGATAGGGAGCACGCACGCGCGGCCGTGATAGGGAGCACGCACGCGCGGCCGCGATAGAGAGCACGCTGCGTCGACGTCGATCAAGCTAGAACTTGCAACATATCCCGTATTTTCACGCGAAAGAATCCCATTTCCTAGTCTGCAAATATTATATATATCGCACAAAATCTCAAACGCAAACTCGGCCGCGAAGTGTCGCAGCGGCGAGCGAAAACACACGTGTCGACGGGCAGAAACGACAACAGGTGCCGACAGACTGTGTTATCATACTGACAGCGATATGTAGCGCCTAACGGATTATATGATAATATTGGGAAAAATCTCAACATGACGAGATTGATTTGGCTTAGCTTCGAGTGTCACGCGAACGTCGCGCGTATGTGACGTCACTCGTACGTGACAACTTCTAGCCAATCATTGTTGCGATGGGACGTTCTAAAAGACGATGCTTGGCAACGAAGTGCTGCGAAATCGTAAATTTGGCGCGCATGCGTAGAACAATGCATAGAAAACTGCTCCAGTTTATATTAACCGACATAGCAACACTAACCAATGAAGTATGGCACGATTATCTTGCGTAGGTGCCACATGTCAACTGGAAATCGAGAGATGAAACCATTTATCGAGCGCCTGTTTCCTTGTTGTTGCAGTGCTGGGAGTTAACTGGAAATCGAGAGATGAAATATTTATATATATATATATTTATATATATATAGTGTTAGTATGCGTGTTGTCGCAGTGCTGGTAGTCAACTGGAAATCGAGAGATGAAATATTGATATATATTATATAGTGTTTGTTTGGTTGTTGTTGCAGTGTTGGGAGAGGACCTGGCCAGCGACGCACAGGTTGAGGGCATCGTGGGACAGAACCTGCAGCTGAGATGTCCGTTCACACTGAACAATGGAGATGCACTATACAAGAACAGGTAACGACGCAACGCAACGACCGTTACGTAACGCAATGTAATGTAACGTAACGCAACGCAACGCAACGCAACGCAATGTAACGTAACGTAATGTAACGCAACGTAATGTAATGTAACACAACGTAACACTATGTAACGTAACGTAATGTAACGCAACGTAACGTAATGTAACACAACGTAACATTATGTAACGTAACGCAACGTAACGTAAAAGAAACGATAACGCAAACGTAACATAACGCGACGTCACATACCATAATGTAATAGAAACATAGTGTAATGTAATGTCAAGTAATGTAATGTGACGTAATGTAATTTAATGTAATGTGACGTAATGTAATGTAATGTAATTTAATGTAATGTAATGAAATATATTGCAATGTAATGTAATGAAACATATTGCAATGTAATGTAATGTAATTCAACGTAGCACAACGTAACGTAATATGGCGAAAAATAAGCGACTATAGTATATATATATATATATATATATACTTATCATGTGTGCGAGAGACACTAACGTCGCTATCATTAGCAAGCGCGCCACTCGCTCTACATAACACACGTTAAATTAAGTAGAGCGAACTTACACTTATAGTGATTGTCATAAAATATTGAGCAATAGCGTTGCATTAATAAAGTAGCTTTAAGTGCTGCACACGTAAAATTAACTTCACGATGAAACTTTGCATATAATTTTATAACGCTGGATCACGCCGTATCGTTATAATTACTCTAACATTCCGACTAGGCTATTAAAACATTGAGTTAGTGTGGCGGCCGCGTAGCCAGCTTTCTAGTTGGGGGGGGGGGTTTCGTTTGTTCAATAGTTGGGCAATTTGCGTCGCCATGCGTGCGTGTGACAGGATTATGTAGCCAGGGGGGGGTCTAACGCGGCCGTAACCGAAAGTGCGCAGCACGGCGAAGGGGGTTCCTGGGGGGCCCCTCCAGCCAGAAATTTTTTAATTGACCCCCTCAGATGCGTGTTTTCTGCGCTGAGCAGAGGGGGGTGACCGGACTCCCATGGACCCCCCCAAAACACGCCCCTGCTCGGGCGTGAAGCGACCGAGGCGAGGGAGCCAAGCGCCCGAGCGGGGGGAAAGGGTGTGGGAGAGGGGTGTTCACTGTTCCGCCTCTCCCGCACGATGGAGTTTTTGACAATTGATTACGAACTAAAATGGGACAGCGACCTGAGGGTGAAATCTCTGCAACAATTCTAAATTAATTATTTTTTTTGCTTGGTGGGGTGGGGGGGGGAACTGGCTTTCGGGGGGGGGGTCCGTTCAGGAACCCCCGCGAACCCCCCCTGGCTAGCGCCTTGGTGTTGCAGAGAGCACGACGCATTTCTACATTGCATAACTTTGCGACATTTCCCATTCGCTTAGCTGGAAATATGTTGAATAAAGGCTGCAATAGCGGTTAAATAAAGGTTCGAGCTGTCGCAGAGAGAACACGACGCGTTCCTACACGCATAGCATGCATTGACTCAGATATTTCTCTCCAATTCTTTTCAGACTGAATATGTCTTGAATAAAGGCTCATAGCGTTAAATAAAGGTCTCGTAGCGTGGCAGAGAACGACGACGCGTAATCCTGACCACGCATAGCTGCATTCTCAGATATTTCTCGACCAGTTGCTGTCAAGCTGAAGATGTTGAATGAAAGGCTCCCTGGTACGGTCTACCAGTTTACTCCAGACCCGAGCAACCCGCGCATCCGCTGCGCCATCTAGTGGAACAGATCCGAAGTTGGTCCTGTACTAAGCAAGGAGTGCGGTCGCTTTAGAATCGAGGCCGCGTGCAGGCGGAGGACGGGGCACTGTACGAAGTGCGCGACAGCAAGCACGTTCGACGCCGCGCAAAGTAGGCCACAGAAGCAAAGTGTTTGTACAAGTCTCTCCGTCCTACACAGTAACGTAAATCTTCGTCGTCAGTCGTACATCGTTGTTTGCTGCAATCCGGGTCGTCGTCATCCAGTCATCATCATCGTCATCGTGTCATCGTCATCGTCCATCCGTCGTCGTGCCATACGTTTGCGTCACTCGTCATCTTCATTTCAATCGTCATTGGCATCATGCGTCATTGTCTTTATGTCGTCCTCGTTCTTCATGCATTAGCGTCATCGTCAGCGGTCGATGCGCTCTGAGATAATTGATTCTTAGTTAATTAATAATGCTCGAAGAAATTTTTGCGTCGAAGAATCGAGGGAGGGGCGTAAAGCATACATTAATGAAAAAGAGGAGAGAAGCGGCCGTATGTCGCATCTGTGGCCCGCGTGAGACGATTGGTCATACGTATCGGCGTCCGACGGATGGGTGGGGGTCGGAGTTGAGGGGGGGGGTAGACAAGAGCAAACACTTCAGACTAAACAATGATTTGTTTACGCGACCGCGAATAATTAGATGAATATGCAAATTAGGCGGCGAACATTGAAAGCGTAAATTGGGGGACTGAGGTTGACCGGGGAAAGTTTTTTTTCTTCAAAAACGCGACTATTATCTGTAAAAATAGAACTTACACGAGACCGCCTTCGTTCCAGATACAAAGAGAGTTAATTAATATTAATTTATTTCTGATTAAATTCGGTCGCTTATTATGAATTCTTTGTATTTTTAACGGTCGTAGATCCGCCAGAGGAGTTCAGTCTACACGGAGACAAGAAGAATTACCAGAAGGGAGACAACCTGTCTG